GAGCACATGCTTTTCTGCCCCACCTTGTTTGAGAGACTGTAGACTTGGCTGATGACCATATGTCAGGGTGTTGGACTATTTGTGAGTTTCCCCATTGAACTGCTCAAAGCTCAGGTTTGTGCTGGAGTGTGTTTGACATGTTTTTCCAGCATTCTCAAAATTAACAGACTCAGCTCAGGGCAATTCCCAGGAGCTGGACATTACGTAGTCATTTTGTTGGAAACAGCATTTCTAGCATGAAATTATGGGTCATTCAAAAATTCCTCATTCCATTTCACTGTTGACAGCTGATTCTTTTTACTGACACAATTTTGTTTGAAGCTTAATTAATATGGGCAATCAGGTGTGCTTCAATATTTTATCCAAGATGGGAACTGCAACCAAAGGAAAAAGAGAACTTGAAGTTTTTGAGTAGATCTCAAAAACTAGAACCAACAAAAATATTTTGCTGCCCATTAGCAATGGCATTCCAGTTTGCGATTTGTCCTGCTTCTCTAAAGTAGACATAGCCCTGACTCTCTCTCTCTTTTTCTCTCTTTCTCTATTCCTTAGTGCTGGAACTTTGCCTGTCACCTTCCGTTGCCTGGAAGAAAATCTGGGGATTGATAAGCGTGTGACCAGATTTGTCCTCCCAGTTGGAGCAACCATTAATATGGATGGTACAGCCCTTTACGAAGCAGTGGCTGCCATCTTTATAGCCCAAATGAATGGCGTTGTTCTGGATGGAGGTCAGATTGTGACTGTCAGGTGAGTGAAGTGGGTGGGGTCAAGTGGTGAAATGACTTCTTACCCTGCCCTCCTTTACACTAACTCCATTTGACAGGGGCAACTTGAATTTCAGTTCTCCAAGTGGAAGAATGGCAGAGGAAATAACAGAGAAGAGGAATTATTGGCAGGTTCAAAGAGAAAAGATTGTGCAGGAAAGAAGCTTCGTATGATTATCTTCTGTTTGTATGACACATGTCAACTCATTTTGGAAATTGGATGTTGTTTATCTATAACAATCACATCATATAGGCAGGGCAGTTATTTCTATGCTCATTTAATAGATGAGGAAACTCAGGCTCCAAGAGAAATAGTAGTTTGTCCAAGGCCACACCGTTAACGAGCTGGCAGAGCCATAACTGGGGCTGACATCAGCTGACTCTGGATCCAATGTTTTTCATTAAAATATGCTCCCTTCCATATTCCAGGGGGTGATGGCAGAAATGATGAAATGTTAGTAGAAAGAGTCTTCAATCTGACATATAACATTTCATTACAAATAAACAGCACATATTTTTGTTTTTACAAAAGGTATTTTTACCATATGTGTTCATTATTAAAACAAAATCAGAAAATGCACTTTCCCAGAGGTTATTAAAAACAAATTCCTTCTGAATAAACTTAAAGATCACACCTACTGGCCAGGCCAACCCTTCAACTTCTTGTTTATAGGTAGAGTCATTGAAAACATCAGTCTTCAAACCATTCACTGTTGTACTGACATTGTGGCATGAAATAAAACTCTTTACAGTCATCACTCCCACTCCAGGTAGGAGCCTCAAGTAAGCAGAGCCAATTTCTGGCTTCATTTAAAGTAAAAAAAAAAAAAAAAAAGAGCCAGCTATATGGTCTTATTCATGTCATATCCCTACTACCAGTGTCTCAATTTCCTCATCTTTTAATGAGGAAGGTATTCAGGATTAGGAGCTGTAAACTTGTAGTTCATGGGTTGAATCCAGCTCAGAGTGTTGCTTTGTTTACCTTGCAGTGTGTCACAAAAAATTGGAAGTTTAGTATCTTGTAAGACAGGTGCCCTTCAGTTCGCCACAGTCTCCCTGCTCCCTATTACTTGTACCTGGTCTGCCCTACCTGCCATCTCTGCTTGGCCCTTGAAGACATTTGAGTCTGTGAACCTTAGAATCTGTGGTTTGTAAGTTCCTTTTCTGCTCTTGGATTCTATGAGATCAGTAAACACAGGGGGTAGGTGGTTTACATTCTTTGTAACAAATGCACTTGAAGTAGAAAGAGAGTTCCAAAAATTCGAACAACCAAGGCCCAGGTAGTTCATTTTGGTAGGTAAATTAGGTAGGCACTGAAGTACGCTTTTAGCCTCTATAAGGAGAATAACTCTGNGGTAGGTAAATTAGGTAGGCACTGAAGTACGCTTTTAGCCTCTATAAGGAGAATAACTCTGCTCTTTTGGTCCCTCCGAGATGGCAGACTCTTCACATACATTGCCTCAAACATTCCCAACAACCCTAAAAAAAGGGGCAGTCATAAGCCCTGTTTTACAGAGGAGGAAAGTGAGGCTCAGAGAAATTACGTGACAAACCTGGGTCTCATGGCTTTGGGAGCCAGAGGCACAAATCAAATCTCTATTCCACAGTCAACCTCTTTTAACTACACGTCGTCTCTGCTTCCTGACTGTGACTCAGAGGAAGAGGTTAGAATAGTGTTTTAATCTTTTTTCCCATTGATCTTTAAGAAGAGGAGACATCCTGTGGGTTCAGGTTAAGGCACTAGCCTCTTTCCCCCAGGTAATGCTGTCAACCACTGTATTAGAAATTCTGGTGTCTGCTTGGCCCTTGGTATTCAACAGTTTGTTCTCTGGGAGGCCTGTAGTGCTCTAGGGGCCATTTGACGAGACTTATCCTAAGAGGAAAGGCTCATTCGAGTCTGATTTCTCTACATGCTAAGATTCTTAAAAAGTCCAAACTCAAAGACTGAGCAGTGTCTGTAGAAATGCTGGAAATTACCACTAGTCATGTTCTTTATGTGTCTTAGGGGCTGATATTGCAGTGGAATGACCACTTCAGAGCTTGTGCTTGATTTATTTAGCTCTGAAATATTTCACCAGCTAAGGGGCATTTTTGTTGAAACACAGATTTCTCTTCTCTCCTTATAACCATTCCAAAAGATTTAATGAACATCCCATATGCATCTGAGTTCAGTCCAACTACTAAGTCAGCAAATTAAAAAAGAAAATCTCACCATGTTTAACACATATACACACACACACACACACTGCAAAAGCATCAAATAACCACATTTATTTAATCAGCTAGAATGTATCATCTGAAAAATTTCCTAGAGGCTCTCTTGGCAGATAGTTTCATCTAGTAGATAAAGAAACTGAGGCTCAGAGAATAGGTTACACACAGCCATCTAGAGGAAGACCTAAAATTTAGGTTTCCAAATTCTGAGGTATACTTCCACTTATTGAGGATTTTAACTTGTTATCCTAGAAACAGCCTTAAAAAGTAGGTATTGTGTTCTGTATTTTATAGATGGAGAGAATGAAGCACAGTAAAGATGAAGTAACTTGCCCAAGACCACAGTGTTTATGAGGTAGAAATGGGATTTGAACCTAGATCACCTAACTCTGGGTGCTTTTAGACATTTCACACACTGCCGTGACTATACTATACTATAGGGTTGTTTATATTAATTTTTATATATAATATAATCCTCACAACCACCCTATGAAGTATGTGCCATAGAATAGCCTCAGTTTTCTCATCTGTATGTGGGGACAATAACCACACATTCTGGGCTGGTTGAGAGCATTGTGCCTTGTTCACAGATTCCTGTCAATAAACATCAGCTACTTGTATAGTTACTATTATTGATGTTCAATATAATATGATACTCCTAGAAGATTAGAGAAAAATATGACAGTGACATGGTGAGTACCATGATGTTACTGATGACTGAAAATATGCTTCAGATCAGAGTATCAAGCCTTCTAAATCATGTCCTAATAGACATCATGCGAGACTGCCAAACTCCCTTGCTTCGAAACTCAGAGATGAACAGAGCTTATTAATGAAGCCCTTTTCCAAGCAAAGATGGCCTTTATGGCAACTTCCCATCAAGTTCACACTCTTAGATGGGAACTTAGAGATGGGAGAATGGACCAGTGATTGAGTGATTTGGATTGTGCTTGAATTATTTA